TTAACAGATTGTAACGAACGACATCGACAATATATTGTTTAGTAAAAACCTATTATTTATAATATCGTAGGTTTAAAGGTGAAACTCATTTTGTGGCTTAATTAAGTAGTGGATATGATTAGAATATGTTGTTTTTATTTATGTTTTATTGCACAGTTAAAAATGTACAAACGACGGACTTAAAGCTATAGGGCATTCTCACCCAGTCAACCAGAGAATTGTAAGGTAAAGAGGTAATTAATGGGTTTTTAGTATGAAAAATCCTGAGTTAGACATTATTATTAGACTCAATGATTTTTAACAGACTTCAAAAAGGAGGTGTTTTTGCGGATTCGTTACGCGGTTACTCCGCCAATTATGAATCAATTTTCATTTTTTTATTATTATTCGATAGCTTAATGCGCCGAGATAGGGTGTAATACCCAAAAGTCGTCCCCGCACCAGTCCTTCACAGGCTTTCAAGTCATTTAAATAGTGTTGAACTTGGTTTATGTATACCATTGAAATGACGTCTGATCGAATTTATGTTCCCTATTAGTTAAGCACCTTCGTATAAAAAGGATGACCTGTATTTGTTCATTTTCACTGCCTGACCCTAATTTATTCATAAGGATACGTGTTCATGATTAAGGTAAGTTTTTTTATGAGTTTGCCCTTTATTCTGGTGGATTTTTAAGTTACATTATTATAAAATGTGTGTGTTGTAGTTTAATTAAGCGTTAGAGGCATTTTATTTGTTTATTACATTATAATTCAGTGGACCGACTACTGGATGTCCATTTTTGGATTTTATTAAGATTAATAGTTCATATTTTTGCTTTGGATTGAATATAACTCTTAGATGAAAATAAGTTAATTTAACCAGTAGCCGGCCGTGTATAAGTGACTGTATGTTGAATGCCGACTAATGTACTTTTGATTTCAACAGTCGGCCATTAGTTTTGCTGCATAAAATAAAATCTTGTTACTTTTTAATTAGGATTACACCTGGAACGTTTATTTTTACATAAAAATCTTGATTTATAGAATTTCATCATGCCGAGAAGCAAAAATTAGAAGTTTGGATTGGAATAAGACAAAATAAGAAATCAGAATTACAAAAAATTCAATCTGTTGAAGTCTAAAAATATTTATAATATAATTCCAAACTAATTATAATATTTTGTTGTTCTATAATAAACAAACTTTCTGATAAAAATAGCTGTTTTTATTTAAAGCCATTATTTTTTTTAAATACCTATTACTTAAATCAAATTCAGATTGTTTTACCCTGGATCCATTTAAATTTTATCGAAATCGAATCAGTAGTTTTCTTTTTATAACAAAAGATAGCGTACTTTACATTCATTCAAAATCCGAAAGAAGGAATTTCTATGTTCAACGGGTATGTATATTTTATATGCAAGTAGGTTGTTGTTTACCGATTTTTTGTGAGATGTGAACCAATTTCTAACACAGTAGCTATTTTCCTACGTAAATTTTAACCTAAAAATAATGAATTTCTTTTTTTTTTTCAATAAATAGAACAGACTTTATACTTTTGAAAAGGGAAAAATAATACTTATCAAAAAAGCAGTTAATTTTTCAATTTATTGTAACATTTAGTTTCTTTTTTCAGATTATGATCGAAAATCGACTAAAAATGTGTACTTTACGAATAATATGTGATCCCTTGGGAATCTTACTTTGTGGACTTTCTTTTATTTCGCGTAACAGTATATTTTAAATGATCTTCGGATACAAACGCACCACGTCGTCACTGGCAACGCTTTCGCCAGATTGCGCTCAGGTGCACTGATTAGTTTAGTTATATGGTGCTACTCTTCAAACGCAAGCAACCTATCTAACCTTTTTACATATATTTTCTGATACTGTTGCCCGCGACAACGGCTTTGGTTTCTCTACTAGTCGCCCTAGACGCACGTCTGCGATCGCTAGTCGAAAGATGCGTGGGCACAACTAGGTACGCGCATTGATGCGCCTCAGATATTCGTATCGAGAAATTTGACGTCATTGTTCGTTTTATATCTTACTAGCTGTCTTGGCGCGTATATAGCCTATGTCATCCGCGTATGAAGTGATGTAGCTTCCATTGGATGAAAGCATTTTCATGATCGAATTAGTCCGAAAATGACGCCTTACAAACAAACAAAGTTAGAAACTTAACACGTTTATAGATAATTTTAGGTTTATATTTTATGTTTTATAGAATTATTTTTTAAATTTACGGGCGATTCGAAACTGCTTGCAATTAGTTATATTTGAATAAATGCTAATTTCATTTACTTTCGTGTTAATTTTACATATCAAAGCTTAAAGTTTAATAGAACTTTTGTCTGGTAAGGACATCAAAAAAAAAATTAATTACCTCTGTAACAAGCTACAAAATTCCTGACCTCGTCAACGTTTAATTACTTGTTATTTGTTTTTTATCCTCTATTGTTTTATTTGTACGTAAAACCACAGAATATATAAAACCAGTATGTTAACTGAACTATCTCTATAAATAAATACCTACGCTGCATTGAAGCTTTAGGGTCCTTTCATACTTGACTGCTCAAAATAGAGTGTATTAACTCATAATATTTGTTAAATATTTATGTAGTGTCCTCTAATTTGTATGGCTATTAATGATTTTCCCAGATAAACAATTAACTATCTTCTATGAAATTACTAAGATTAAAAATCGTGCCAAAGCAGGCGCTTGTTCCAGGAGATCTCGCTCCTCCTTATCAGAAAGTATTAACAAAAGACTTAAAATATGAAATAGTTACAACTTTTTAATTTTAAGTAGTAAGTTTATAGTTCTCTCTCTCTCTCTCTCTCTATGTGCGTGTGTGTGTTCGTGTGTGTGTGTGTGTGTTCGTGTGTGTGTGTGTGTTCGTGTGTGTGTGTGTGTTCGTGTGTGTGTGTGTGTTTCTTTGTTTAATAAATTGTGTATAACTTTATAATGAGGTATGCATTTTATATAACAACATAAAATAAAATATATATTAAGTGAATGTATATAACCTGGCAAAAACACTGGAGCTTCAAAGAAATAACGAAATCGAAATTCAATATCACTTAAGAAAAAAAGTTGTGGATTCCACCCTGTCTAGCGTATGTAGCCCAAACCTAGATAATCATTCATAAAAAAAAAATCAAAAATTCTGTCTTGCCAGCGGCCTCTGAAGAGAAGCATGCTTATTATTAGGATCACAGATAAACAGAATAGCAATAAGATATAACAAAAAACAAAATTACACGGTCCGGGCGGTAAAAGACAACAAGGCAGACCTAGAGCTCGTTAGAACGACGACATAGTAAAATTAGTGGGAAGGTACTGGACGGACGTCACGAAGGACTGGGACAGGCGGCACCTGGAGGAAGCATATACCCAAAAGGGGTCATGTCATGTATAACATTTTTTTTTTGCATTTATCTATTTTTTTATGTCATAGAAATAAAGAGTTATTAGTTTATCTATATTTACATATGTATTTGTTTAGGTGTATATAGTATTATGTGTTATGCTTTTATTATTATGGTAGACCGGCAAAGAATGCCTTTGGCGCTAAGTCCGTCTTTTGTGTTTAAAATGCAATAAAGAATAAATAAATAAATTAAGCTTTGGATCGCAGACTGTCCCAACATAACACAGTAGAGCACTGCGCATAGGACTTTGTACTACTACTTCTTGATTATTTTCTAGTTACCTTACTATTATACAAGGCCACGCCGCCTCGAGCGTTCACCCTGCGATACTCGACTCGCTACACTGACATACAAATGACAACTTCACTTATGATGAGAGTCAGGCGTCGGACAGACCTGGGTGATGACTTATAATCCTGCTGATTATAGAGATAGACGAGCTAGATAAAATGAAAATTATACTTTAAAATGTATATAAATACGTACTTAATGTAAAGTTTAAAGGTACATTTATTCAAGTTTATTTTACTGTACATAAAAAAGTCGGTATTTTTTTTTCATTTCAAACAATTCACAGTTTGTACATATAAATAAAGAAGGGATAATATCATCTTAAAAGATCGTAAAGTGTATACAGCTCTCCTAGCTTCGCTGATAGATATAATTCTAGGTGGATATCTTCGTCTAACTAAATCATCGCTCTTCGCACCATAGGGTAGAAGGCTTAAAGCCAATGTATTGTTTACATTTTGAGCCATTAGGTAAACACATGTAAGGAATAGGAATAACAAATTATTCGTTTAAGTTGTAGAGGATGCATATTTTAGTAAAAGAGGTTTTGCACTCCAAGTGGAAGGTCACACAAAATTTTATGAATCTATAGAGGTTTTTACACTATCGAGGTTGAAGTTATCAAGGTTCTACTGTACTTAGCGAAATTAAACATTGTTAGTGTACATACTTTCTTAATTTATTTTTGCTGAATTATTTTATTTCTGGTTCACCAAAGATTCCTTTTATACAGTACAACTTGTAAAGCATGATAAATAGTTTTTGCTCTGTTAAATAGTATGTAGCCTATACGTGTTTCGTTAGTCTGTGTCACATCACAAGCTTGTGCATGTTTTTTCATATAAAATTGTAATTAGATGACGCGTTATACCCTTAGTATGTGTATGTCGACTGGTCAACAACTAGTAACTAGCGAAGCCTAGAATTTTAGTAGTATTAAATGTATATATTTAGATGCTTGTTTATGTGAATTTATCCGTTATTTATAATAATAATACTTTTATACATTTGAATTTTTCTTCGAAGACACTAGTTAAAGATCAAAAGCTTCATTTTTTATCTGAAACATCGTAGTAACCAAAGGTCCATAACATTAACGGCCGGGAAACGAACTTAAGCCTTCAAAATGACGTGACCATCCGGGCGTGTAACACTGTCACGGAGGTAGTCGACGTTAAAGCATATTCGCCATTTGTTTTTTACATAGATTACAAGCACAGCACTTTAATAAATCTTTCCGAATGTTTACTATTACCTAGCAAGTCAATTAACATATATTGCATTCATTTCAGGGGTGTCACCTGATTCAGTAATAGTGCACAATGTAGGAGAACAGAGCGCCCATCTGAGTGATGTCGGTGAGTGGGTCTTAATAAATATCTTATAGAAATATAATTAGGTTCAATATAATAATATCTACCTATTACGACAGAAAATCTCTTATTTTATCGTCTTGTTCTTTTGAATAGGAATTATATAGTTATTTTGTTATAAACAGCCTCGAAGTCGACGTCGAGCGCAGCGATGTGATCACATAGAACTTCAATAAAACCATTGATTTGTTACCCCTTGAAGTAGGTGTTTTAATGGCGTGTCGAATATAGTTTTTTTGTTTACAATCGTATTTAATTCTGGAAATTTTATCAGATGGACATATAAATGATTAGCAAAAGTCGGTTACTAAAAAATCTTTAGAGTTAAGCTCTAAAGATTTTTTATCGTATTAAAGCAAGATAATCCTGGATCGCTCTCATGTCTAATGTTGTTAGATCACAATGATATACAGTATAACAGCGTAAGGTTGGTAATAATGATACGACATTAGAACGCTGATGTTGGCTGCTTTTAAATTATATCTACGCCATCGTTGTTGATGATGTAATTTATACGCAAGAGATGTATTATTTCACTTTAAACATCTAGAGCATGCATTAGGCTGTCGTTTCTTAGGAAGCGATGAACTTTTGGCACATGGCCCTTGGACTAGGGCCAAGGTAGTCCCCGGACTATCACCGGCACAAATATATTTTATTCTCTATTTTATGACTATTAAACATTGTCTTGCGTCATAGAATTTATGACATCTGAACTAAAATACTGGATTGCATATAATCCAGTCTAATATTGCCGAACATTGTTACATATGCACGCCATATGTTACAATATTCGACTTGTGAATGCAACTAACAATTGCAGATGCAGCCAGGACCAATAGTTTATCGAGCCTCCCGAAGCACGGAAAAGCTCGAGACTCACCCGTCCTTCCGAAACTGGCTTAACTTCCACATCCTAACGCACTATCCACTGCGGCTACTGATTTGAGTTAGACAAATGTTTCTATACTTTCCCAATGGCACATAAATTCACATCTGTTGCTAACATTTCGTATTTCTCCTCGAAATTTGTTTCAAAGATTTTGTACCCAAAATTGTAGAGCTTCTGTTGAGTAGCACGGTGGCAAAGTGGATAAGGCCCTCGGCCGGCGACGGTTGGTTGGTCCCTGCCGTATTTATTGTATACCTTTCAATCTGAATTGGGCCAGCGTGGAGAGTCATGATCCATCCTCCTTAACCATCCAAGTGCGCCTCTGTAGTGGGGACGTAAAAGGGCCGATGTCACAAAAGAAAACTGGTGAAGTGTTTGTTATTTGTGCGCAGTGGAGGTGATATTGGCGGACGACCCGACGTTCGGAGAGGGCCGCCCCCCACCCGACACAGTCCAGTCGTCGGCGCCTCCGCCCGGCACCATGCAAGCGCCGGCGCCCTACGTGTACATTGTCGAGCAGCCCGCGGCCAAGGCTCTCAGGTTAGTCCTTACATTCAACACACGAGGATCGCTTCCCTTTGCCTTCTTTACTTGCAACAAAAAAACTTCTACAGTTGGTATCGGGACAAACAGACCTGCGAATGTAACTTATAAGGGTATATTTTATTGTATTTGCGGCATGAAACCCAAATGTCTAACAAATAAATGACAATGCCCTTGAATTATTGTAATAAGATAGATACAAAGTTTATTTTCCAATTGTCACAATTATATCACACAGTAAACAATTCATATGGAAACAAAACCAAAGCAACAAGAAACAGAATCATGCTCCCGTGTACAGCAGTTCAACAAAGGTCTAGGTTCGGTGCACTACATCACCTAAGGCAGATGAAGCACCGATTCTCAGCCGTCACCCAGTATGAGATAGGAACATATAAGTTTTCCCGTCACTCTGCTCGAACTTATAAATATTGCCTTAAATACAGTTATTCGGCCAAGGCCCGCAAAATATTCGGTATCCGGCATGGAGGCGAATGTGCTATTTGTTTCAAGTATATTTGCCTGCACTTCTATGCCGTATATCTACTCAATGTTGTAACGTTTCAAAGTTCGTATGCTGGTGCCCAATTCCAGATCCATGCTTATACTGTTTCTATATCCCAGCAACCTAGGTCCAACCTCTTCCCTCGTTGGGGCTATCTTCTTCAACTCCTTCCACGTCAGGGAACTTAGTTTTTATCATATTTTTAACCGACAATAAAAGGAGGTTCTCTGTTTGATCTGTATGTGTGGGTTCGCGATTATCTCGCATTTGGCTGAACCGATTTTGATGCGGTTTTCAGCATAGTATTGGTCAGACTGAGGAGAAGGCTTTAGGTATACTAAAGAACTTGAAAAAAAATGGAGGTTTGCACTTTAAAAGTATTTGTAGTGTTACCTTTTATATAAAAAATATCATTATCACTAAAAACTATGAATGATAAAACTTTAAAAAAAAATTGAACCGACTTCAGACTTTATTTATTTTTTTATTATACATGTGGTTGCTGGAAAAATGGTTAAACCCAATATACGCATTACTTATTAGATAATTAATTTCTTGGAAAATTTTCACCTACATAACAATGGCTTACCTAAAGTTCCATTTTGTTTGCCTATTTGTTTCCTTAAATAAGTTTTTCTTTATAATGACAGTTGTTACTAGGCTTATATTACCCTATTCTATAATTAGTAAGTGGCAAAAGAAATCTTTAACGAAATTAATAACAATATTTTGCTTGTTACTTTATGACCTACATGGGCTTCTCCTTTTTATAATTTATTAGGAAAAGGAAACCACACGTAATTGTGAATTTACAACTAGATCCGTAACCGTTCAAAATCGGTAATATTATTGGCAGTAGAACTATGAGGATAAAAACGAAACTTACAGTTACCCTAAGCGTTATTCTTTATAAGGAAAATCACATTGCTTCAAGTATTCTCACAGAAACAGAGACACAGATACTTGTTAGTCATATACATTATACATACATACAAACATAAAGGATTCGACTTGCGCGATTCAAAGGAAGATTAGAGAAAAATTACTTAACTTGCTTTCCAAAGAAACATCATGTTTTGAAAATTATTCACCTCAATTCCAGTTTCTATTTTTAAACAAACATAATATTTGAATTTGGATTCCAGTATATATTAAATCTTCTAAACAGCTAAATAAAAAGAAAGTCGCGGTTTTGTGGGGTAATTCCATTGATGTTTCCAAATCGGTTCCAATCATTTTATGTTCTTAACTTTATATATTTAATCTCCTGAATTTCCACAGTTTGAGTGGCACATTCGATCCCGTTAACTTATCACCTTTTTCTATATTGCAAACAAACCTGCAAACCAAACGGTTTCATATGATAGTCATTTGACAACCGAAGCCGGTGTAGAGTTTTTTTTTTGGGGCTTATGTGCCTTTTATTGTTTTTCTTTTTTTCAAAAAACTCGATTGTCTGGCTTAATTTAAACGTCTGGCCAATTCTTTATCACCGTGGATGAAAAAAATGCGTTTGAAATAACATACAACTGATTAATGTATGACATTAGCCACTGACCTGTCAGTAGAGCGTCAGTACAAAAAGCGTAGACGCGTAAATATTTGCCTAGCAAATAGTAATGCTTAAAACAGGTTGGCTCGCGTGTTTGTATCTCGTACTTTCCTTGATTTATTTGCCCAGTGAAAATGATTCAGATTTCTAGTGGAACACTGCTACCGTTATATTATCTTGCTTTATTATTATTTATAAATCAATAAATGCTGATTCTTAATATCAAACACTTTTAGTACTCGTACTATTTATAACGAGTGACTTAGGCGCCGGTAGTATCATGGGCGTGCCTAGGCAAAAGAAAGTTGATAAATTATATTAATTGATAATCTTATAATAACCTGCAAGAATTTTGGAAAGAAATTTGATGTTCATATGCTATTTAATATATGCTAGCTGTTTTCGGAGCGTATTCAATGCATACAGACAAATCTTTCCTCTTTATTATATTAGTATATTTATTGATATGTCATTTCTAAAAATTTGCATTTCGAAAAAGCTATAGGTGTGTTTGTTATATTTTCCATTAAGTATTAATTTGGTAATAGTAATGCAATGCTATTGTTATTATAGTCTTGCAAATAAATTTTGTAATTATTTATCCGCACAGATTCAGTCTATACATCGATATTCTGGGTAAAATATTCTGTTTTTCTCCATGCTCCAAACTATCTCTATCTGTACCAAATTTCATCACATTCCTTCCGGCGGTTTACCCGTGAAAATTTTATAGATACACATACATACATTATAAGAATTAATTTCGAATTTATGTATGTAAAGTCAAAGTCAAAAATAATCTTTATTCAAATAGACTTCTTAAAAGTACTTTTTAATCGTCCAACATTTTTTCCCTACCACTCGTTCAGGACGTCTTTTGGCTGATAAGAAGAACGAGCAAGAAACTCACCAGCTCTTATAGGAGTAATGACATTTACAAAAACCATGTCATTACCAGTCCAATACATTATAAACAGAGATAGAAAAAAAAACTATGGTCTTATAATGATAACATAATCATTTAATAATAATGGAAACAAGATAATGAGTTTAGAAGTAATCAATCGCCTATCCAGTTGCTGGATCATCTCAAGTCCAAGCGTTCTTATCTGTTATATAATCGGATATCTTATAATAAGCTTTTTTAATAGTAGATTTAAACTGCATGATATCTAATTGTTGTATTTTGCTTGGGACCTTATTGTAGAAGCGCACACAAAGACCCTTGAATGAGTTATTAACTTTTTGCAGTCTAGTGACAGGCACCGTTAATTTATTTTTATTTCTTGTATTAAAATTGTGTACATCACTTTTATAGAACATAAAAATGAACAACCGCAACCGTCAGAATATGATGATAACAGCACTCTCGCTACGTATACGGCGACACGCTCGTACGTCATTTGTGTGATTGCTATTAAACAGCTAATTGTGATATCCTAATGGTGGAGTGGACGTCGCCGTGACGTAGTCGTGTGAACCAGTTGTGGCGTCCGCAGCCCACGCCACGTATAAACACACCTGGGTTTCGACTGCGTTTTTTCTGATCATTAATTATTGTAATAATGTTTTTATTATTCCATTTCCTTCTTCTTTTATTATATCGCACACCTAGATCTAAACTAACTCAAAAATTTGAGTGAGTTTTGACTTACTCGGTGATCACACGCATCTATCCAACACAACAGATTCAATAAAAGTTCGGGGATGAGTCGCTGGATAACTTTAGCTTTCTTTTGTTGAATCAACAGTGGTCGCGTTCCTGCCACGTAAACAATGTATTGTCAGACCTCCACATTAGTTTTTTGAGTTGTCTTAGTTTAGATATAGGTGTGCGATATGATCTTAGATGTAAAAGGCTTAATGGGAAATTTTGCGGTCTAGTAAAAAGTAGACGTCAGTTATAAGTTCCAAAAAGCTATTTCTGTATTGAGATTTTACTTTACCTCACTATCGAGATTGCTAAAATATCGTTATCCCCAGTAGCCAACCATTTGGCGTTCCCGTTGCATCAGAATTACTGTCGCTTTCTGTTATTTATCTCCAGATTTACACTCGCACAGTACATAGGTTTAGAAAATCAACTTTTCTATGTTGTCTCAGGTCTGTATGATTTGAGTGATTTTTGTTGATGACTACCGAAGACTGCTTTCGCCATTCCACCAATATCGATTGTTTTTTGTTTTACACTCAGTGAAAATATCGATAGATTACATGGAACCGCTTAATGTACTCATCAGGAAACTATATCCTAATCCTTTAAAATATAAACATTGTAAATATGTACAATAATTAGTATAAGTGTCGTTAATAGTTCACAAGTAACGTCCTGTTGTGGTGTTATTGTCTCCGTCCATTCTTGTACAAGGATGCATTTATCCTTGAACTTATGACAATACTTGCTTTCGCCAGCGGCTTCGCCCGCGTGGCCCTAGGGAAATGTGTAGTGGGATAAAAAGTATCCTATTATCTAAGTCAGCTAACACCTGTATATCAAATTTCATCAAAATCCGTTCAGTAGTTTCGGCGTGATTGACCGACAAACATCTAAACATCCAAACAATGAAACTTTCACATTTATAATATTAATAGGATTTCAAGTCGTAGATCCGACAATGACAGTTTCGATTGACGCAACAAATGCCATATTATACATAGCATAGTCTATGTCTTTAGCACAAAATAGTTATATGAGTAATGCGAAGCGATACTCCTAATTTGCATCAGGGGAAGTCCGTTAAGTAACCAAACACAGGTGGGGACAGAGATCTGATACAACAAAAACTGATATTATTCAATTAAGTCGTTTTGGGAAACTCATCAATGGGAAATACCCTTCGTTTACGCAGTGTGGCGCGTGCTTAGATAATACGCTCTGGCGCATGACAAAATCAGTTGACATAACTGATTCCTCGATATTTTATTCTTGATATTACTTAG